TTATGTAAATAAAATTAAAAACCATATGTTAGTCCCGAAATGACCTAGTTTGTGTCGAGTGGACGTTAAACCCCATTTCTCTCTCTCCATCCAGCCAGACTCGCTGGGAGCCTGTCTGCTAATAGTAATTACTACACCCTCTCCCTATGGAATCAACCGGCTGTCTGACGAATGCCCAAAGATATGATGATCTTGTAGCTTTGGACCTTCAATTATCTAATTGGTAAGATATGACGTAATTAATTATAGCGATTGGTTAATTAGCCTAATGACGTCGAAAACCATCCGTATATGGATAGTGGAAACTTACACCAGAAATTTCACACGTGATATCTATTATCAACCTAGAATTTAATGTTTATCAAACAATAACTCTTTTTTATGTCAACTTATCAATCATTCCCTTATTTTGATTTAAGTGCATATGAGACTATATGACTTCTATACAATGTGTGAATCTAATAATTAGCCAAATATATTAATTAATACAATGTTACTAATTTAAAGAGCAAAAATTCTAGCAATTTGCTATATTCCCTCTGTTAAGACTTTTTGCTTGGTATTATTAGCTAAAAGATCCCTTGGATCCTTTACAACGACCATACCAATATCTATAACCTTATATAAATATTCATACATGCAGCACAAATCTCGCCATTGATATTCTATCACCTTCCCCTTTTTAAGATTTGTGCGAACTAAACAGGTACGAAACTCTTAAAAACTTCCATTTCTAACCCATTATTTATGCAACATGCACATAATTCGATTGCTATAGGATTAACATACAAGATTACATATGATCACAATCTGATTCAATCTGTTTCCAGAATATAAGTATCAATGAAAACACAAATAAACAAACATCAAAACAAAAACACGTGTAATCGATCTCCAAAAGTTCATCACTGCACTTTAACGTCCTATGAGAATTCACTTTAAACTAAACACAGAAAACACAATTGTAATTGTTTATTAAATCTTCAAGTGTCCTAATTTCAAAATACTATAACACTACACTTAATATGTTCAGTTTCACTTTAACTTCTGCAATTCATCATCTTGAATTCCCATTGGTCTAGCTCAGCAACCATAGTCTCACAATGAAAAACTTTATTTTTCTTATGAGTAAGGATTCTCAAAGTTAATCACCAGATCCCAACCTCTGAAAAATTTCCTTCACTCTTCTGTGATGATTGGTTTTGGACAAAGTACAATTTCATCCGTCAATAAACATGTCATTGCCATCAGACCAAGAAGTAACGATTCCTAAATCTTACTATTAACTCTTACTTTTATTTAAAATTAAACGTTAATTATTATTAATAAACTTTGATGTGTCTCTTTAATTATAAATCTACAAACTAACTTGACCTTAACTCAGTAATGGACAATTTTATAATTTATTTTTTGTTTTATAATTCCGCCAAAACAATTTTAAATTTCCCCGTCAGTAATGTCACCTTTTGTCCTAATCATTTACAATTTTGTATTTCGTTTTTTATAAACACTATCCAACATTACATAAACATTTCCTATCAGACCGAGACAAGCTGAGCCCAAACTTATGACAATACCAAACTATAATTTATTTAGGACTATGTCCAAAGTAAGTGACGTGCACTTCAATCTCTCGGATCACCAGTCCATATTTTATAAATACAATAATCACAACACATCTAGCTTTTAATCACTAATAACTATATCCTATATATTAACGTAGCAAGTGACTCGCTTACACATTTTAACACACACACTGCATCGAACAGTAACACTTAGCAAAAATATATTTAACGTTCATTACGTTTTTAAAGCAAAATTTAATGACACAAAATTATATATAGATAACATTTACAGTATATCCTACCCACATTTCTAAAAAGTGTTTTATTCTCACCTTAACCTCGTATTAATTCGTATGAAAGACTTTGCGATAATCTCACAAATTCAATGTGTCATTAATTTTAGTTTTTCCAGGAAATACTATACCTACATCCCTAGATTTAAATACATGGGAACATAATCAATCCTTATATTCAAAAGTTTTCAACCATAATTTTGAAACTTGGACTAAGAGTCTCAAAATTATATTAGCTCTACATAGCCGAACACATATACGGACGACACAAACAACACAATTGGTAGCAATCTAACCTTTTATTCAAAAGCTAAATTACCATAATTTTGTCTTTACTTGACCAACCCATAATTTTCAATCTTGGACTAGAGTCTTAAAATTATATCAGCTCTACATAGCTAAACACATATATCTAAATAACGGATTCAGCGGAAAATAAATCAAGAAAATTATAGGAGTTAAGCACGAACAATTCAATTCTTGATTCCGTCTTTCTCCTAGATCCTGAGACAACATTAATTCCTTATTTTATTCCCTAATCCGTTTCCTTATTATTATTCCTTAGTCATACGAGAAAAAAAAAATTGTAACCTACCCCTAGGCCCACTTTATTTTCAATATAATTAATAACTCAAATTTGTAATATAGATCATGTTAACCTGATAATACACATACCTAGCTAGTGATATTTTATTGTTTATAAACCTGTCCATCAAAACTTATTAATGACTATTGTTGAATTATAAACATTTAATTTTTAATCTGATTGTAATCTTACATTAATATTATTTGACTTACTAAACAACTTTACATTAAAAAATAAATAAATAAATAAATCAATAAAAAATGAAAAAAATTATAATTCTTTCACCGGGGTTCTTTTCCGCCAATTTTTTTTTTTTTTTTTTACCAAATTTTTCCATCAGATATCTTTTGGGTACTGGTTCTACGGGTTTTCTTATCTTCCAGATTTCTTCCAGGTTACTCGATCTTTATGTAGCACTGTAGGTCTTTTGTCAGACGTGGAAAGCGAGCATCCGATAAACCGGTCGCCACATCCTACGTATGACCCATGCACTCTTTCCATACTACATATCTTAGTAGCCTTCTGATCGTCTATAGTATTTTCACTTGTCTTCTTTGGCTTCCTTTTCACGTTGCGTATTCTCTTCTTACTATCTCAGTTGTTAAGACTGTCTTACCAGGAATAACAATGCAACAGTTCATTTTTGCATTTTATATATAATAGCTGGATACATAGATACAAGCATCCATAGAAATTACTTCATCTTCTCCCTTTGAAATCAAACGGCTGTCTGACGAATGCCCAAAGATATGATGGTCTTGTAGCTTTGGGTTTTGGACCTTCAATTATCTAATTGGTCAAATATGACGTAATTAATTATAACGATTGGTTAATTAGCCTAATGACCTCGAAAACCATCCGTATATGGATTTGAAACTTACACCAGAATTTTCACTCGTGATATCTATTATCAACATAGAATTAAATGTTTACCAAATTATAACTCTTTTTTATGTCAACTTATCAATCATTCACTCATTTTGATTTAAGTGCATATGAGATAATATGACGTCAAAAACCACCATTATATGGATAGTGGAAACTTGCACAAGAAATTTCACACGTGGTATCTGTTATGAACCTAGAATTGAATGTTTACCGAATTATAGCTCTATTTTATATGCCAAATATTTTAATTAATACAATGCTACTAATTTCAAGAGCAAAAATTCTAGCAATCTTGCTACATATGGCGCTAATCTTGAAGCCCAGATATTTGATCGAAAAGTACCCCACTAGTCTAGAACAATACAGGACAACTGGCGGATATGAGTGGTTATAAAGAGAGGTGCGTTGTACTGTTAGCGTTGAAAAAAAAAAGGCAAAGAACAGGATCAACTATGCTGGAGTCTAAATTCGCAGGTTCATTTTAGCCAGAGTGCCAGCTAAGCTCTGTTCCAACGGCATTGTTGGCGCTGGTAGGTATGATCCTCAATTACCCAAACATTGCGTAACCGGGTGTGTGGAATTAACATACCTGTCCAATGATAACATAGATCCAAACACCCGTCCCACAAGTGATACCCGCTCATTCGATGGGACAGGGATGTCACTCTTCCAGCATCCCAAGGGGCGTGTTCAAGAAATGGATTAGTGTTCCATCTGCATCTTACTTGCGGCTTGATTTTGCCCTCCTTGTAGAATGCAGTGGTGTAGTCCGACTGACAAATGTACGAAGCGTAACCCTCTGCTTGACTCCAAAACATGCCCCTGAAGGTCAACCAGGCCAGAATAAAGGACATGAGTTTGTTCATTATATGGTCTGACGGGCGACACGAAGGGTGTAAAACTATATCAGATGACTGGATAAATGAAGAAGGTGCTAGTATCCTTAGGGCACCCTTCACCATGGGGGGAAAGGGCAGCACAATATGTCATCATGTACTAATCTGGGGGCTTCATTATGGCATATACTTTTATGCATCTAGCATGAAGAGAGTAAACGGTCACGAATTGCTAAGTCTGACGGGGCATATATAGCAGTCACTTTGCCTGGTATTCAATGAAGTGTACCTGTCCATTTTTTAGGCATGCTCTTTGGGGATTCAAGGATCACCCACAGCAACTGAACACTCTGAATATGTTAGGTTACACAGTAAACGACCCGGAACTCGGATATCGGTACTTTGTTCCTTTGACCAAAGTGCTCTGGAGTGCTGTTCTAGTAGCTAGCGACCAAATAATATCCGAAGGCAAACGCCTGCTTAGCAGAATTTTTACATGGCTTGGAAAAAAACGATTTGACTTTCAAAAACCTCCTACAGCTACGTGTTGCCTGTGTCTGTGGCGTCGCCCTACGCTAGGGTAGCGCACATTTGTGAGAGACAGGCTTATGTCGCATGAAATATCCAACTTTTAATTAAAAATAAGTTTTCAGCTTCCAATTACTTCTAGGAAACATATTATTGGATAAGCAAATCTAGAAAAAAAAACATTTGCAATTACTTCTAGGAAACATATTATTGGATAAGCAAATCTAGAAAAAAAAACATTTGTATAGGGAAAATCTACTTGACAAATCACAGGTTAACGTTTCTTGGGGAAAACAATTCTTACGTAGAGTACAATTGTAAGGCGATTTCTTGTATTCATCAATGAATGCCGCCATACTAGAAGTTACGTCAGCAGCTGCTATTAGGTCACATGTCGCCGTTGCATTTGCTACACATTCTATCGCAATATTCACGGCCCTGTAATGAAAAAGGGATCACATATTACCAAATATTTTCACTTTTTAAAAAAATGAATACGTTTACGGATCACACGTGTTTGGGAAAAAACAACCTAGAAGCATAACAAAATAAGCATGAAAGCTGCTCTTCTTAATATGCTATAGATCTTTATATTTAAAAAAAACCATAGATCAATAAAACGGTAAGCGTGTGGGATATTTCTAGAGCATTGGTAACTAGTTATTAAATACCAATACAAAAAAGTGTGTTATAAGGATATCTGGAATTAATACATATGCCCTACATAAACCTACAATTAATTGTAGCTAAATGGGGTGATGGTTTGGACATAGTGTAGTACAAACACGAAAGTATGTTGGGTAAACATACTTTCCAAATGAAAGTGATACTTTCAATCGATAACTGTGACTAATAACTACATGACATTGAACACTTAAAAAATACTTTAGAAACTATAAACATACAAGCATGTTTCGTCGTTGGATGTTGAAATTGCCTCAGCATTAAATAAAGTTTCTGCGCATGCATTGGCCCCGGCAGCACATTCTAATCCAGCTTCGTTTTCTTGAACACCTAAAATATAATATAAGATAATAAAATACGAGACTAGTTTCTGTTTACAGTACATGCATTATAATAGTGTATTTTATTTGTGTATTTAATCTACCATAATTTGTAAAGCGCAAGTGAGCACTTAGTCATAGAAATTGTGCGCTCAAAACATTTATAATAATAATAGTCTGGAGGCTCAGTGCGGGGGTGGGTAGGGGTCCATCAAATGGGCACAAAACCAGACCCAACTTTTCTAGAGTAAAAATTTCGCGTAGAATACGATGCCGAGTGGTAATTAGTCCGCCGTTGGGGCGTTTTCGAGATATTCGGGGTCAAAGGTCAAATGGGTTCATTTGCACTGAAAGTGAATGCGGAGTCATTCTTGTATCATGAAAATTAGCTGAAAATGATCGAAAGTAATTTTACTCTTGAAAAGTTGGGTCTTGTTTTGCGCCCATTTGATGGACCCGCCCCGCCCCCCACGCGCTGAGCAACCGGTCTATAATAATAGTAACTAGAGTTGTCCTAGAAACAACTTTGATAATTTTTATACAGCACAATCACACACGTATACATTATTTACTATATCTAATGGATTAATGTGTATTGTTGGCCTCTTTTTTTCCCTCAAGAATCTTAAAGAAAAAAGAATAATTATGAGAATCCGTCAAGAAGTCGCTATGATATAACGAACAAGCGGTTACCATGCAAGATACGCCCACATTTTGCAGGAGATGGACATAGAACAAGCTCAAAAAAAGAAGTGATTTTTCGTACAATCAGGGGCCATAATTCAGAAACAAGATCTTTGGGTTATAAACATGAATTTCAAGTGTAATCAAAATCGAACCAAAATTGTGTCCTCTCTCTAGAGGGTCCAAAACCTTGATATACCATATATTTACAATATTTGCGTACGAGGGGCAGCCATTTTGTCCGGCAGTTTTAGTCCGATTTGTACGAAATTCGGACTCAACCATCATAAGGGTCTAACAGTGATATATTCAAAAGTTTTTTTAAATCGGATAAAAATTGTGACATCTAGAGGGATCACATCCTAAAAACGCGACTTTTCCTACAATCAAGGGTCATAATTCAGGAAGTTACGATCCAATATGCGCGAAAGGAACCAAGATCTTTGGGTTATAAATAAGTATTTTAAAATTCATCAAAATGGGATCAAAATTCTGGCCTCTAGAGGATCCACAACCTTGATATACCATATATTTACACTATTTGTGTGCAAGAGGCGGCCATTTTGTCCGGCAGTTTTGGTCCGATTTCCACGAAATTTGAACCCAGCCATCAAAATGGTGTAATGGTGATATATTCGAACGTTTTTTTTAAATCGGTTAATAATTGTGACCTCTAGAGGGACCACAAGCTAAAAACACGATTGTTCGTACAATCAGGGGCCATAATTCAGGAATTTACGATCCGATATGCACGAATATCGACAGCAACCAAGATCTTTGGGTTATAAACATGCATTTCAAGTTTCATCAAAATCGGATTAAAATTGCGACCTCTACAGGGTCACAACATTGATATACTATATATTTTTTACGCTATTTGACTACGAGGCGTGGCCAGTTTCGGTTCGATTTTTACGAAATTCGAACTCAACCATCCTTAGGGTATAACGGTGATATATTCACACGTTTTTTAAATCGGATAAGAATTGTGACGGCTATAGGGTCCACAAGCTAAAAACGCGATTTTTCGTACAATCAGGGGCCATAATTCAGGAAGTTACGATTCGATATGTGCGAATATCGAAAGGAACTGATATCTTTTGGTTATAAACATATATTTCGAGTTTAAACCAAATCGGATAAAAATTGTGACCTCTACAGTGTTCACCAGCTAAAACGTGATTTTTCGTACAATCAAGGGTCATAATCCATGAAGTTACAGTCCGATACACGCCAATGTCGAAAGGAACCGAGATCTTAGGGTGATAAACCTATTTTTCATGTTTCGTTGAAATCGGATAAAAATTGTGACCTCTAAACAATTGCATGTGGACGGACGGGCGGACGGACGGACGTCCGGACGGACGGACGGACGGACGGACAGGGGCGACGACAATATACGTCCACATGAAAATGTGGGCGTATAAATACATTTCAGGCGGGAAGAATTACATTGTTTTAATAGTTGCACAGAACCTCTGGTTACTAACCAATTTTGATAAAACTCTCAAAATGGGCACTATACGACCTATTTAAACGTTTAAGAATGCGTTTGCGAGAGAACCCTGCAGGGGCCGGAACATGGTGGGTGACCGATTTTCACCATTTTTTTTATGCATGATGGGTAACCCCTCCAAGCCCCACTGCCACAATTTTAGATCAATCGAACCATTTTTAAATTATGGCTTACAACTAAACTACGGCGAGTAGATTAATGAAACTTTATAGGGTAGCAGATATGGTTAGTAAGTATACATTCTGAAAGTTTGATGGACTTTCAATGAGCGGTCTTTGGTATAGAGACTTAGTGCTGTGAGGTACCAAAAAAGCTCAATTTAGGTATGTAATTTTATTCCATCTCACCCACTGCGGGTTTAAGTATTTTTTTGGAATGCTGACTGAAAAGGCAAATACTCTATAGTATTAAGATCAAGAAAAAAATTGGGTGGCACTTGACCCGTTTAGTAGTAAATAATTTCCATTTTTTCCAAAAATAACGATTTTCAACAAAAATGACGAAACATAAACCGCTTTATTTACATACTGAAAAGTGTTACATGGCACTGGAAATCAAATTAACGCGGGTTCCAGTTCAAGTAAATATAAACACATTATATACTTTCATCAAATAATTCAAGTTTAAAAAATGTTTCATTATCAAAACTACAAATACTTATTACCAATAAGTATTTCAAATTAAAAAATATCGCTATACTTTACTATCTACTATCTATCTAATCATCTATCTATCTATCTATCTGTTTATCTGTCTAATAAGTATCTAATCACGAAAACTGAGCTTACCGTTAAAATTTTGAAAAGCTTAATTTACTGTAAATGCCAAAAAAGCTGTTCTTGGTAAATACAATTAATCTCTCTAGACTATTTTTCAATACTTTATTAATTCGGCAATATCTAGTAGAAGGATGATGGTGCAGTTTATCCTGGATTAATAGAAGATGTTGATGAAGTGGAAGTTCGGGCGATGTACAAGACCGAATTTAATAAATTCTTTTGGCCGTTCATGGAGGATCGTGTCTGGAACCGACAAGACAAAGTAACTGCCCTCATCCCTTCTTTAGAACGGGTTACCGGCAGACATTACAAAATAAGAGATGATATATTTAAGAAACTTTCCGAAAGATATGATGAGTTTAACCGATTTTAATAAAATCCAAAACGTTTTCTTGTTGGCGACACTTACGCCCATACGTGCTCCTATATTGAATTGAACTTTCCTCTCAGGCGCCACCCGTAACAAGTGGGGATCGGGTTTAAATGTTTGTTATTTTGTTATTGTTGTGTTGTTTTGCATTGTTTCATTATAGAAAATAATTATGAAATTGATGAGATAAACCCTTTCCTTACCGAAGATTTACATAGAACAGTGGACCCAATATGGAGCGATTATTTCTAGTAACAACCCCATATCGACAGTACGACAGTAAATCGTCTTAACAATCTTCGACAGTGTGTCAACTCCACGATCTTAAGATGGGGAAAGTTTCTCTGGTTCGCAGATTAATATTCTATGTTCCCCCGATTTGTATCCCCAGTTGATCTCAAATGCCAACAATAAAGTTAGTTCGGGCATCGTCTCTAAAATGCGATTCCTATTTCCAATGTCAACTCCGCCAAATGGTGTCATTACCGCTACCGTTGTGTCAACGTGCACAATTGGCTTGTGTTTGTTTATTTTCAACGGAACATGATACAAAGTTTTCATTAATTTGCTGTCACTCCTGTCCTCGCGATGGAAGTAAATTAATCAGTATAGCTCACATATTAATTCCATCAGTTAATGGTAAAGGTTCCGATTATCAAGTGTCTTTCAAAAAGTAAGATATTTGCCTGCTCCACCCACCCACGTGCATAATGTGAAGGTGTCCCTCAAATATATATTTCAGGTAATGTATTAAAATATTCCAACAACTTAATTTCAGTAATACACATTATTTTAGTTACATCGATATATATATTTCGATCTCGCGGTGTAAATATATATGACGAGTAAGTCGGGGGTCAAATACAAATATTTTAATTAATACTGTTTGGACGTCAAGGCCAACTAGCACAATTCACCCATGATATATTATATACAAAACACAATAAGGCAATCAACGAGCTAAAAAGTCATATTTTATTTTCAACTTCTCATTCCTAAAAGTTCACCGAATTGGTAGAATCACCCTAATGCGCAGTGCATCTATTTGTAGGGATTATAGTTTGTTAGCTAAGTAATCGCTGCACGCACCCCAGATAATAGAGAGCGAATGCAATTTACTAGTTTTGATACTTTGCTTACAATGCTATCTATAGGATTCTTCCATTTACAGTTATGTTGAAAGATTAGACATAGGCGTTTGTGTTCGCTTACTTCTTTGATTTGTACCTGGTTCATAAATAATGGTGGCTTAACTATGTGGGGTTTAGTAGTAATAGTCATTGTCTGTTTTTTGGAGGTTAAACGTAAATAGCCATGTCTCAGCCCAATTTTTGTGTCCACGAGAGCACCATGCAGAGGGTAATAAGTCTTGGATCGGGGATTTAGACCAATTTTTTTTCTGTTAGTTGGGTTAGTGCCCAAATATGAAAATGGAATGGAATAGGGTTTAACGTCCTATTGTTCTGCTCCGAATTGTGCTATGGGGGGAATTTTGCCCGGACAGCGGCACTACGGCCTACTCTTATATCGAATTCCAACTGTCATGGGATCTTTTACGTGCACGCCAATGTGTACACGGGACCTCCGTTTTTCGTCGCATCCGAACGACTAGACAGTACCAAGATAATGAAAACAAAAGTTTGAGCGGCTATAGTTCGAC